CAAACTACCAATGGCATTTCTTACAAAACTAGATCAAAAAATTTCACAATTTTTATGGAAATAAAAAAGACCCAGAGGGCTTCCCTGGTGGCACAGTGGTTGAGAATCTGTATGCTAATGCAGGGGACACGGGTTTGAACCCTGGTCTAGGAGGATCCCACATGCCACAGAGCAACTAGGCCTGTGAGCTACAACTACTGAGCCTGTGCGTCTGGAGCCTGTGCTCCGCAACAAGAAAGGCCATAATAGTGAGAGGCCCATGCACCGTGATAAGAGTGGCCCCCTCTTGCCACAACTAGAGAAAGCCCTCGCACAGAAATGAAGACCCAACACAGCATAAATAAATAAATAAATAAATAAATATATTCCTACTCCGAACATCTTCTTAAAAACAAACAAACAAACAAAACAAACAAAAAAAAGACCCTGAATAGCCAAAGCAATCTTGAGAAAGAAAAACAAAGCTGGAGGAATCAGGCTCATGGGCTTAAGACTATACTGCAAAGCTACAGTAATCAAGACAGTATGGTATTGAAACAAAAACAGAAGTATAGATCAATGGAACAGGATAGAAAGCCCAGAGATAAACCCACACACATATGGTCACCTTATCTTTGATAAAGGAAACAAGAATATACAATGGAGAGAAGACAGCCTCTTCAATAAATGGTGCTGGGAAAACTGGACAGCTACATGTAAAAGAATGAAATTAGAACATTCCCTAACACCATACACAAAAATAAACTCAAAATGGATTAAAGACCTCAGTGTAAGGCCAGACACTACAAAACTCATAGAGGAAAACATAGGCAGAACACTCTATGACATAAATCACAGCAGGAACCTTTTTGACCCACCTCATAGAGAAATGGAAATAAAAACAAAAATAAACAAATGGGACCTAATGAAACTTAAAAGCTTTTGCACAGCAAAGGAAACCTTAAACAAGATGAAAAGACAACCCTCAGAATGGGAGAAAATATTTGCAAACGAAGCAACTGACAAAGGATTGATCTCCAAAATATACAAGCAGCTCATGAAGCTCAATATCAAAATAAAAACAAAAAAAACAACCCAATCCAAAAATGGGCAAAGACTTAAATCATCATTTCTCCAAAGAAGATATACAGATTGCCAACAAACACATGAAAGGATGTTCAACATCATTAATCATTAGAGAAATGCAAATCAAAACTACAATGAGGTATCACCTCACACTGGTCAGAATGGCCACTGTCAAAATATCTACAAACAATAAATGCTGTAGAGGGTGTGGAGAAAAGGGAACCCTCTTGCACTGTTGGTGAGAATGTAAATTGATACAGCCACTAGGGCGAACAGTATGAAGGTTCCTTAAAAAACTAAAAATAGAACTACCATATGACCCAACACTCCCACTACTTGGTATATACCCTGAGAAAACCATAATTCAAAGAGTCATGTACCACAATGTTCATTGCAGCACTATTTACAATCGCTAGGATATGGAAGCAACCTAAGTGTCTATCGAGAGATGAATGGATAAAGAAATTGAGCACATATATACAATGGAATATTAGCCATAAAAAGAAATGAAGTTGAGTTATTTGTAGTGAGGTGGATGGACCTAGAGTCTGTCATACAGAGTGAAGTAAGTCAGAAAGAGAAAAACAAATACCGTATGCTAACACATATATATGGAATCTTAAAAAAAAATGGATCTGAAGAACTAGGGGCAGGACAAGAATAAAGACACAGTTGTAGAGAATGAACTTGAGGACACAGAGAGGGGGAAGGGTAAGCTGGGACGAAGTGAGAGAGTAGCATTGACATATATACACTACCAAATGTAAAATAGATAGCTGGTGGGAAGCAGCCACATAGCACAGGGAATTCAGCTCGGTACTTTGTGACCACCTAGAGGGGTGGGATAGGGAGGGTGGGAGGGAGATGCAAGAGGGAGGAGATATGGAGATATATGTATACATATAGCTGATTCATTTGTTGTACAGCAGAAATTAACACAACATTGTAAAGCAATTATACTCCAATAAAGATGTTTCCAAAAATATTAATGTAACTCGTGAATGACTGCTTGAAGCAGTCAAAATGTTTGAACCTATACATAGATTACCATGAATGTGACAACTATAAATACAGATTGGTACCACAAATTTAAAAAAAAGTTTAATAAAACATTGTATTCTAATTAACTAAACAGTAATACCCTCAAGTAGGGGAATGAGGGACACAGACATTTTGTGTTTCTGCTTGCAAGAAGAGCCAAAGGAAACTGCCCATACAATTTCTTAATGACCCAAGGGAAAATAGCTAAAACCACAGTGGAAATAGAAAATGCTTTTAGTAATTTCTATTATAAACTTTTCACCTCATGGAGAAACTGGACAAAGCAAATCTGATCGCTGTATGGCCATATTTAATTCCTTGGTGTATGTTTGTCTTTTACCTCCTCTGTCCTAGTTTCTTAAACAGAAGTTGAGTGAAGTTCATGTAGCATGGTTTATTTGAATAGCCCTTTAGTTCTAGATGAGATGTGTTACAGTAGTGGACAAGAATAGCTCGTTGGATGAGAGGGTTATCTACTATGTATACGGAAAGGGAAAAGGCCACATTTAGGTTTTGGCTTTTGTCACTAGTTCTTCAAGCACAATTTTAACATTAAGCCATTATAATCTAATTAATCAATATGATCTCATATAAAGTAGATCTGAAATATTATACATAATGTGTCTATCATTGAACAGCTGCTTATGAATTCTTTTTGTCCCTGGACTAATATATTTATTGTTGATATCCCATGACCCAACATTTTATGATCCATTTATTGTTTATACTGTATTTTTTCCCGTTATCAAATGCACATTCTTGAATTACTGCTCTCATAGTTCACCTTTTCTAAATGTCCTTTTGTACCTTTTCCAGGTAGCCACATCCTGGACATCCCTCAACATCTAGTTCACCGTTTTGTTATATTGTAAAGTCTTGCTTAATATGCAGCTTGTGGTGGTGTCTTCTTTCTCTGTACTCATATAGAACCTATCATTGTATTGAGCCTTATATTTCTAGTTATTTTTTTGTTTGTTTTGTTTGTTTGTTTTTTGTGGTACACAGGCCTCTCACTGTTGTGGCCTCTCCTGTTGCGGAGCACAGGCTCCAGACGCGCAGGCCCAGCGGCCATGGCTCACAGGCCCAGCCACTCCGTGGCATGTGAGATCTTCCCGGACCGGGGCACGAACCCGTGTCCCCTGCATCGGCAGGTGGACTCAACCACTGCGGCACCAGCGAAGCCCTCTAGTCTAGTTATTTTTTGTGTTTATGTCTTATCTTTCCAACTAGATGCTGAAAGATTCTAAGAGGCAGGAATTGTTTGTTATATATCTTTGTATCTTTGCCACTTTGTCTAACAGGGTGCAGGTTTTTGGTTGCTTGTAATTTTTCAGAACTCTTGGTTGCAAGTTAAAGAAACTGAACACTAATTCAAGTAATGAAGAAGGCCCAGGAATGGGTCTGGCTGAATATTTAGTCATGTTGGATCAGGTATCCAAATTTTTCATCAAGAATTTGTCCTCCTGTTTTCCTTTGTCTTGGCTTTGCTCTCAGGTGAGAGCTCCCTAAATTATGCCTTCTGGTAGTAGAGGAAGAGCTTCCTTCTCTCAGTAGATTCAGGGAAAGCTTTGGGGCTGATGATTATTGGTTTTATTGGACTGTCTTGGGTCATGTGCTCGGCCTGAGTTACATGGTTATGTCTCGATATGGGGGGTGGGATCAGTTGCCCTCTCTCTTTCATGACATTTGCACTGAAATTGGAGAATGGGTAGTTCCTTAAAGGAAAAGGTGGGCTTTTGTGCTGGCAGATGGGAAATGGATGCTGACAGGCAAAAACAAGATGCCCATTTGGGATTTCAGTAAATGTTTCCTGGTTGATCACGTAAACTTTTAGGAAAGAAGTCAGATTTGTAGAGATTCCATTTTTTCACCTTCATCCAAAATACTTATTGTTAGAATAGTGCCCTGTATTCTCTGAGCCCTTCACAGTCACTGTTGGAGGTGGATGTAAATGTGATATGATGTATGACTTTGGCTCCCCATTGATTTATCACCAGAGCTGAAAGGTTATTACTCTCTCAAGATGGATTAATAACTATGCTTAGGTGCTTGAACCTTTGAATAGGCCCTCAAAGTTCTTTTGTGGAAGAGTGAACAGAACAGTAATGAAATCTCTCACTGTGGATTGTGATGATGATAGCCCAGTGGGTTATGATATTATCAACAAATTAAACTGTGACTCTGTTTTGGATTCTCTCTCTGAGAGCTATGTTGTTTATAAACAACTTCAAAAGTTGTTTATAAAACATATAAATAGTAAGCTTTGAGGTTGCCATTATTTCAAAATAGTGGTCAGGACATGTACACTAAGTTGGCTGACAGGGTTTTTGACTGCCTTATTTTTGTACATTGAGAAGTTAAGATCAGAGATATTTTAAGTACAAAACTTAAGTCATATATTGGTCAACTTGCCTGAAACCCAGCCAGTGAAGATCTTAATGAACATTGCAGATAATGAAGAGAGTATTAGCAAGATTAATTTCCATGAGAAATGGATCCTAGACAGGTAAAACTGAGATGTCTACTGAGTGTTCAATTAGTCTCTGCTGATTGATCAACTTAACATCCCTGTAGATCAGAATCACGTTTGTGTGGATTCTGTATATTTTTTCACCTTCATCCCAAACACTTTGCAGCTAGACAATGTAATGATATCTTTGGATAAAAGTGTAGATAATCTTTCAATATTGAATTTTGTTTAGTGTAGCATATGCCCTTCTTAGCTAGTTAAGTTTGTTTATTTGTGTGTGGGAAAAGAGCAAATCAAGCATAAATACTTTAGTGTGTTCTTTAGAAATCAATGTTCTGAAATCTCTGAGATAGTTAATATTTATTTTATTCAAAAATATTTATTGAGTACTGCCTTAATTTTAGTTTTAATCTTTACTTTTTAGAACTGGAAAATAAGCAGAAATCTACAGCTGGTACCACTCCGAATATTAATTTGTTCTTACAAATGTTTTAATCAACGTGATCCTAATCTCTTTGGAATTGCTCAAGTGTAGAGCAGGTAAGAAGCTCATTTAGAGCCTCACATGACTTGCCCCATCAGCTCTGCACAGTCAGATTATGCCCTACTTAGGATACCATGCTCTTCTCTTTGTCAATACATTGAGTAAAGGAAGAAAAATAATTTAATTGTGAAGGTCCCAATTTAAGCATTACAGTCTACCTTTAGATTGTTTAGACTCTAAGTGTGCTGTTTCTTCTTTGACTTAAAAACAAAATAAAAAATGGAAAAATAAAGATCAGTGTGGCAAATGAGTATTATTTTCTTCTGTCATTTTTATGAATACCACCCTCCTTTTCTAAATAGTATTAAGGACTTTGATGGGGACAAGTGTTTATTTTATGCATGTTTTGCAAATGAAAAACAATCACTTTTTAGTGCTAGATAGTTCAACTATATTTGTATGATTTCATTTGACCTCTTATTTTCTAAGTGGCACTAACATCTTTTTTTTCCTTTCTTTTATTAAGGTAACAGTTTATAACATTAAGTTTCATATATACAACATTATATTTCAGCTTCTGTATACACTGCTGTGTGCTCACCACCAAAAGTTTAGTTTCCATCCATTGCCATATACTTAACCCGCTTTACCCATTTCACCCTCTTCCACCCCACTTCACTTCTGGTAATCACTAATATGTTCTCTGTATCTGTGTGTTTGTTTTTGTTTTGCTTGTTTTATTTATTATTTTATTATTGTTTTATATTCCATGTGAGTGAAATCATATGGTATTTGTCTTTCTCTGACTTATTTCACTTAGCATAATATGCTCAAGGTCCATCATTGTTGTAGCAAATGGCAAGATTGCATCTTATATTTTGACTGAGTAGTATATATATATGCTATTGTAAATAATTCTGCAGTGAGCATAGGGGGTATATATCTTTTCAAACCAGTGTTTTTATATTCTTCAGATGAATACCCAGAAGTAGAAGGTCTGGATCATGTAATAGTTCTATTTGTAATTTTTATAAAAAATTTTATTGGGGTATAATTGATTTACAATGTTCTGTTAGTTTCAGGTATACAGAAAAGTGAATCTGTTATACATAGACATATATCCACTCTTTTTTAGATTCTTTTCCCCATAAGCCATTACAGAGTACTGAGTAGAGTTCCCTGTGCTATACAGCAGGTCCTTATTAGTTATCTATTGTATATATATGCCATTTGCAGCAACATGGATGGACCTAGAGATTCTCATACTGAGTGAAGTAAGTCAGACAGTGAAAGACAAATATCATATGATATCACTTATATGTGGAATCTCAAAAAAGGCTACAAAATAACTTATCTACAATACCAAAGTAGAGTTACAGATGTAGAAAATAAACTTATGGTTACTGGGGAGTAAAAGGCATGGGGAGGGATAAATTGGAAGATTGGGTTTGACACATACATATTTTTAATTTTTTGAGGAAACTCCATACTATGCTATGTTTTCCATAGCAGCTGCACCAATTTACATTCCCACCAACGGTGCATGGGGGTTCCCTTTTTTCCACATCCTTGCCAACACTTGTTTCTTGCCTTTTTGATAATATCCATTCTAACGGGTGGGAGGTTGTATCTCATTGTGGTTTTGATTTTCATTTCCCTAATAATTAGTGACGTTGAACATCTTTTCATGTGCCTGTTGGTCATCTGAACGTCTTCTTTGGAAAAATGTCTGTTCAGATCCTCTGTCCATTTTTAAATCAGGCTTTTTGTTGTTTTATGAGTTCTTTATATATTTTGGATATTAACACCTTATTTGATATATGATTTGCAAATATCTTCTCCCATTTGGAGGTTTTCTTTTCATTGTGTTGATGGTTTCCTTTGCTGTGCAAAAGTTTTGAGTGTGATGTAGTCCTTTTTATTTTTGCTTTTTTTTCCTTTGCCTGAAGAGACATATCCAGAAAGATGTTGTTAAGACCAGTGTCAAAGAGTGTGCTGCCTATGTTTTCTTCTAGGAGTCTTATGGTTTCAGGTTTTACATTCAAGTATTGAGGTTTATTTTTGTGTATGATAGTGGTCTAGTTTCATTTTTTGTATGTGGCTGTCCAGTTTTCCCAACACCATTTATTGAAAAGACTATCCTTTCTCCATTGTATGTTCTTTGCTCTTTTGTTCTAAATTAACTGTCCATTTATATGTGAGTTTATTTCTGAACTCTCAATTCTGTTCCACTGATCTGTGTACATGTTTTTCTGTCAGTATCATGATGTTTTAATTATTTTAGCTTTGTAGTGTAATATGAAATCAAGAGTGTCATACCACCATCTTCTTTTTCCTAAGGGACACTAACGTCTTATTGACTAAGATAAAACCTTCATTCCACTTAAAAATGAGTAGAAGCTGAAAACCGAGGCTTGGTTACTCCTAACATCATTTTGTTCTTGCTTTTAAAGCTTTAAAATTTTTTTTCCACAAGAGAAACTACAGAAACCAGGGAAGTAGTGCTGGGGTGAGAATTTGACTCCTTTTCTCTGAAGGACAACAGAAAAGTAGGGGAAAAAATATGAAAATATATATACAGTTTGCATAGACCAGTAGTTTTTGGAAGTGTGGTTCTGTCCAGCAGCATCCACATCACATGAGAACTTGTTAGAAGTGCAGATTATCTGTCCCCACCCCAGACCACTGAATCAGAAACTGGGCGAGTATGGCCCAGCAGTCTGTGGTTGAACAGCTTCTCCAGGTGATTTTGATGCACACTCTTATTTGAGAACCCCAGGGACAGATTAAGATAAATTTGCTGTGGGTTCAGAAAAGCAAGAAATTTAATTATAATTTATATTGAAACCCCACTAGAAATATGTTTCTTCATGTAACTATTTGGTGGTTCTTCTTGTGGAAGGCTGAGTGATTTCTCATCTTACATATATTTTATTACCATGTTACCTTCCTAACTAGGCCCTTTATTAGTTCACTTCAGGACATACTCCTTCATGCATCAGGGTTGCCTCTGGCATACCTGGGAAGCTAATCAATGGAGCACAGCTGAGAGGCTATCAATTCCAAAGAAAGCAAGGGTCAGTCCCCACTGAGACAGAGTCGGGGCCTTGAGGTAAATTTCTAAAGGCTCCATTAACCAAGAATGCATTTTAAACAAAAATAATAACAAGGTACAAATGAAAGTCATAGGAGCTCACTTAAAAATGAGTTACACGAATAAACTGTATGTTTATTGAAGGAAAACTACTGAGAAAATTGATTTTGATTACGGAAATATTTTTATACAACCTATGTTGTTGAAAAGAGTGTTTTATTTACCATTTTAATCTCATGACTTCAGCTGCAATTTATGTGCTGTCTTGGTTCTGGGGAGAAAACTGTATTCATTTATCTATGTACTCATTCAACAAATATTTCAGGTACTCTTGAAGCTCAGGGGACATGAGGAGACTCTTGACTCTCTGCCTCTACATTTTCACCCCATGCTCTTCATATCTCAAGGCACCGAGACATAGTTTCTGCCCTATTCCAAAACTGGTCTTTCAGAGGTCATCAGTGCCTTCCTACCTATCCAGCTGCTCCTTATCTGGCTGTTCTTCTCTGTAGGTTTGGGCTCGATTGACCATCTTCTGCCTCTTGGAACTGTATGCCTTAGTATTGTTCTTTATTTCTCTTATGGCCTCTTCCCCATACCTTTAACTGAATTCTCTTCTATACCTTCATTCAAAAACAAGATTTCTATGAGATTTCTCTACTTAGTCCCATTTTATTCTCTCTTAGCACTTTTTCTTTACCTGAAGGAACTCACCTACTCTTATCAGTTTCATTTAGCTTCATTTATCACACCTAGGTGGGTAGCTGCTATATCTCTTTCTTCATTTTTAACCCATGTTTCCAAGCTCTTCAATTTCAACATATCTAAAATAAAGTTGATTCTCTTCTTCACAAATTATTTATTCATGTATTAGGCAAATATTTATTGAGGGGTTACTGCCTACCAGGCACTGTTTTCTGTTCTAAAGATATAGCAATGAACAAAACTGACAGGGTCTCTGATTTCAGAAAGCTTATGTTATGATGGGGTGGGGAAGGCAAACCATAAAACCAGGAAAATAATATGGTGATATGTACTTTGAAGAGAAGTAAAATAAGATTTGAGAGATAGAGAAATTATGAGAATACTTTTTATACAGGGTAGTCTGTGTCTGATAAATTAGTATTTGATAAATAATCTGAAACAAGTGAGGGAATGAGTCCTGTGGGTATAATGAATAGGAATCAATTGAGTGTTTGAAAGGCATAAAGTTCAGGATGATGCTGGAAAGCATCAAATAACTGAATGTGTGCTAAAGAGAAAGCATGACTCTGAGGTCAAGAGATTTAGTGTTGCTGGATACATGGTCATGCATCAAGTGTCACCATGAGAACTAGACTGGGGAGGATGCATCTGCTTCTGCCCTGTGGGACAACCCTGTGTTCTGAATCATTATTTAATTAAATCAGAAATTAATCTTACTCCGCATAAATGTGGGTGTCTGTATGCATGTGAGTTTGTGGTCTCTTCTTGCCAATCTATAATCCTTCTGAAATGTTGGAATCTGAAACACTGCAAAATATTTTTATTTTCTAACAATTACAACCAACCTTTATTTATTCAAGTGAAGTTAAGTGGAGCATTAACTTTTCGTGAATTTTTTGGATTTAATATTTTTCATTTTTTCTCTTCTGTGGGTACTCTCTGGAATTTTTTTGGTTCACTCACATTTGCCTCATAAAGACATAGGAGAGCTCTTGGAGGAAGACGCTGTCGCTGCTTCAGCGGAGCCTCAGGCCACCCACTCATGCTCCTGACTCACTGCTGTTCGCCCTCGCTGAGGAACAAGTTGGTCAGGAAGCCGTGCCGCAGCCATGGTTTTACAGATACCGGAAAGACTGCCTTGGAGCCAGAGGTGGCGATTCACCAGATTAGAATCACCCTCACCAACCGCAACGTTGAAGTCTTTGGAGAAGATATGTGCTGAACTGATCAGAGACGCTAAGGAAAAGAATCG